TCCATTTATAAAAGCGTTGTATATTAAAAAGTTTTTTTATATTATTTATGTTTATTTTAATTTAATTACATTTAAAAGTATGTATGTAAGTAGGTACTAGTTCGAAATTTTCAATTGTGTATTTGAATATTTTTATCTAAAATATCCTTTAAAAATCCTATTTATATATTCTTTTGTTTTTTAGGCACCAGACGAAAAGGAAAAGAGCAGTGAGTATTTTTATAAAACGAANCATGATACAGTGTATCAAGGGTAGAACGATGTTTCTTTTTGTTTATTTTAATTTAATTACATTTAAAAGTATGTATGTAAGTAGGTACTAGTTGGAAATTTTCAATTGTGTATTTGAATATTTTTATCTAAAATATTCTTTAAAAATCCTATTTTTATATTCTTTTGTTTTATAGGCACCAGACGAAAAGGAAAAGAGCAGTGAGTATTTTTATAAAACGAAGCATATGTACGTACATACATACATATGTATGCCCATACATACAGCATTGGCCAATACAATAGCACCCCCATTTCAAAGTCATATTGTTTACCACTCATGTTTATTTATTTAGTTTTAAGAATTTTCAATTAAAATACAGTACATTCTCTCACAAAACTCACATAAACTCAAGTTTAAAACTTTTTAAAAGACCGCAAAAAAGTGCAACAAATTTTCAACCAAATTTCAAACTTTTTTCTCAGAATCGGTGGAATTTTTTTGAATACACAGTTTTATAGCCCATTCAATTTTAGTCTAATAATGTACATGTTTCAATTTGTTAGAATTTTTTTCGCCGAGGATGTTGCGGGTTTCTGCCATATAAAAATAAATTGTGTTTAGTTGTTATATGGAAGCAAATGAGACAAAAAAAAAATCTAAAAAATCAACGGTAATCTTTAGCGACTTGAAACTTGCACATTATTGGACTAAAAGTGAATGCGCTATAAAACTGTGTATTCAAAAAAATTCTAAAGCTTCTGAGAAAAAAGTTTGAAATTTAAGGGAATTTAAAGGGACTTTTAAAAAGTTTAAAACATGGGTTTATATGGGTTTTGTCTGAAAATGAACTAAATTTTAATTGAAAATTCTTAAAAATAAATANATGTCCAATACTGTATGTATAAAGTTCTATAAACTATCATTCACTTTATTATTGCTTTAAACCGTCTGAGTTTAATTTAATTTTAAACGAGTTGCAAGCTCCGCAACAAAAATGGACGCTGATATTAAACGCTTGTTGTGAAGCATAAANTGTATAAAGTTCTATAAACTATCATTCACTTTATTATTTCTTTAAACCGTCTGAGTTTAATTTAATTTTAAACGAGTTGCAAATTCCGCAACAAAAATGGACGCTGATATTAAACGCTTGTTGTGAAGCATAAAAACATATATACAATATATATTGCTGATAGAAATCTATACTGAAATCAACAGCAAAACAAACAAAGTCAAAATTAAAACAACTAACAAAAATAACTATTTTCACCCGTAAATCGCCGTTACTTACCGGTTATTTATAGCCGATGCTGAGGGCACCGCTTCAGGAAATAGTTCAACGCAAAAGAGCAGCAAAAATGCGGCAGCTTCAAAGGATTCAAAGACGTCTAAAAGTATTTCCAGCGGCAATAAGGACGAACGTAAAAATAGTAAGAATGAGGAAGACAAATTGAAGAGAAAAGATGAGAAAACTGGCGACAGAAAGGAGAAGGACGATAGGTTGGTTGAATGCCAAAGTGTAGAAGCCTAGAACATCACCATAGAATGAAAACCTATTTTATAATGGATGAGAAAATTGCAGTCAATAATTACTTTTGAATCAGTTTGTTGTATGAGAGTTTATACCAGTTATAGTGTTGAGCATTTGGAAAGATACCAGTAGAATGTTGTATTGTGAGAAACCTACAACAAAAGAAGAAGAAGAATAATAAATGGGAAGTCGACTGCCCGTGGACGGCATTGCTATACATTCTAATCAAGGAGTAGCAGACGTTCAAAAGATGCGCTACCAAAAATACTGAACTTTCACTGGAGCAGTTTAATGTTTACAGAACAGTTAAGATCGTTTCTAATCCACCTTCCGAAATCTGAACCAAAGCTCAATATCTTATAACTGATATAAGTTTTTCATATCAACAACTATTCGACTCTGCAAGATTGACTTAAAATTTAAGGCAGACGTCGTCGACACATTTTACTAATATCATTTCTTTTTTAATATTTTTCCCGCTGAATTCAACTTGTTATTCAACCCACAATGTATTGTACTCGTGGTTATCCAACTGAAAACAGTGAACATAAATCATCTTCAAACAAAACATCGCAAAAGGATGACAAAGGTAATTAACCCAAAAAAGCAGATTAATAACAAAGCCATCTGCAGAAAGTGTTATTGCGAAAATCACAATCATGCAGGGTTAGAAAGTAATAAGCTCTCTTTTGAAATAAAAGTTACATATGAATTGAATTAAGTGGAAGACTCAGCAAAGAAAGTGTGAACTTAGCCAAGTTTTTATTGTAGGTAGTGCTTGAAGGTTATAAAATCATTTGATCGGGAGTTCACTCTCACAACAAAATTCAAGATTTCTTTATTTAAAAAATAAAGAAAAAACTTTATTGTGGACATAGAACTTAATAACTCCTAGATATAGAGCTTGAACGCATTTAAGAATTCAGTACGGTGCGGCATCTTTAGTGTAATTTATGCATCAAATCTAGGAAAAATATAACCGGAGCAGTTCCTAGTACAGCACTGAATCAATTTTTGCAGTACAAAGGGATTTCTCTCCAGCACCGAGCTAACAAATACTTGTGTTCCACTTGCAATCAATGTCCTGATTCCAGTCTTATCGGTATCCAGGCATTATTAAAGGTCTCCATGCTGCATCAAAATATCAACAATGATTTCGTTCTTGCTGCTAAATCATTTAGGTTTCGACATTTGCTGTAGTGAAATCCTTGTATGCGGGAAAATAAATATATGCAGGTGCTTCTTTCAACAGCAACTGGCTGGAAGGACGACGTTTTAGCCGAACGTAGATCCCGATTCTGGAAGCAGCGCCTCGCCAAAGTTATAAGCGATGTACACCGCGATATTGGGAGAACCAGCCTCAGTACTCGTCGTGATAATATCGTCCGGATGTCCACTACCCATCAACATAGCGGAAGCGGAATTACCCAAGCAAGCCGGTATACCTGGATCAACTGAGGGGCTGGTACCGCCGCCTCAATAGCTACCTGCCTCTTGCGTCTGAATCCCGAACTGGCATACACATGCGTGTCATGCGGACGGGACCAACTTTACATCATCACCTATCAACGTCCTTACGCCTCGGCTCTCCGAATCGAATGATGTAAACAACTGGCAGCACCGTCGAGGGGTGACTCCAGCAACTGGTGTTTGATTTGTGTTGAAAAATTTTGGAGATTCTGTATGCTGGATTTGAGAAGAAACAAACATCATACCCGAGCACTTTGCTCTTCTGTGGCGCTACAACCGTAGTTATTTTTAGCCGGAACCAGAAAGCTTTAACAGTTGACTCCCACCTTTACACAGCATGACATTCGATAGTGTTATTAGACTATACATATTTCGTACTCAAATCTGAAGTTCACATTTTTTTTGCTGAGTTCTGTATAGGGAAACATTCCAAAGTGNGTATGCTGGATTTGAGAAGAAACAAACATCATTCCCGAGCACTTTGCTGTGGCGGTACAACCGTAGTTATTTTTAGCCGGAACCAGAAAGCTTTAACAGTTGACTCCCACCTTTACACAGCATGACATTCGATTAATCTAATAACACTATACATATTTCGTGCTCAAATCTAAAGTTCACATTTTTTTTGCTGAGTTCTGTATAGGGAAACATTCCAAAGTGCATTTAATATAAAAATTTTAAAACAAATTTTATATATAAAAGGACAGCTTTTATCCTCTGTGTCTTTAATTTTAAAAAATGTATACATATATATATAAAGACTTTCAAAACGAATCGCAAAATATTTGAATGTGTGCTCACCATTACTCTTCCACTATTATNTATTTGAATGTGTGCTCACCATTACTCTTCCACTATTATTTGTATGGAAATTGCAGAAAAGTCCTCAGCCAATACCTCGGCGAAATCATCGGCCCCAGCAAAGCAAGTAACTGCTTCCCGCAATCTCTGGGTTTCCGGGCTGTCTTCTTTAACACGAGCCAGCGATCTGAAAACCATATTTTCAAGGTATGGAAAGGTGATCGGCGCTAAGGTCGTCACTAACACGCGGACACCAGGCACCCGTTGTTATGGCTACGTAACAATGTCATCATCGGCAGATGCCAGTCGCTGCATCGAGCATTTGCATCACACCGAACTCCATGGACGGATCATTTCTGTGGAACGTACCAAGAACGAAATCGGTAGCAGCTCAACAGCTGGTTCTAAATCCCGTTTAGATGGCATAAAGAAGGAGGAAGATAAGAAGTCTCACGACACAACTTCGAAGACCCGCGATGATAGACGCAAGATTAGTGAAACCAGTAAGAAGGACGATTCATCGAAGAAATCTGATGCCGAAAAGGAGAAGCTGCGCGATAAAGAGAAAGAGAAAGAAAAAGAGAAAGAGAAAGAGCATAACCAAAAAGACGATAAGGACAAGGAGAAAGATAAGGTCAAAGACAAAGAGAAGAGCGTGACTAGCAATCGCGAGAAGCGTGCTATTTCGAGGGAAGGGCCCAAAGATCGCAATACTCGGCAGCTTGCCAACCGCAGCCGCTCTAATGACCGCCATCGTAACGATCGCAATATCAGGGACCAAAGGCAGAGGGAACGCGAACGTGAACAACGCATCAGGCAGCGAGAGTATATACAGTTGCGAGAAGAACGAGAACGACAGCGTCTGCGAGAGCGTGAACGCGAACTGCGTGAAGAAGAACGTCGTCGGCGGGAAATTCGCGAGCGTCAGCGCCAAGAAGAAACTCGCCTGGCTGAAGAACGTCGCAAGCTAGCACAGGAACGCGAACGATTAGAGAAAGAGAAAGCAGAGTTGCTGCGTTTAGAACGCGAGCGCCAAAAACTCGAGCGGGAGAAAATAGAATTGGAACGACTCGAGCTAAAACGTCAACAAATGAAGTATGAACGCGTTTACACATACATTAATAATTTTTTTAGAACTTACAATACTATATCCATATATACACACCCTCATATACATACATACATGCACACTTACCCGATGCACAAACAGAGACCGTTATTTACTACTTCAGTCAACTGTGCCAGTGAGGCGAGGCAGCTTCGCATCAAAAATGTCTCGGGATGTGTGTCGATTGCAGAGTGTTGATGTATACAAAGTGTGATTATTGTTAAGAAGTTATACATACATACATATGTGATTGATTATATCGCGAGAACGTGTTATTCATCTCAGTATTACTTATGTACATAGATATTGAGTAAGCCAGGTGATGCAACATATCTCTCAAAAACGGTCGAATCGTATAGACGTGTCTTTTAAATTAATATATTTTTATTTTTAATCACTAATACTTTCAATTGTCTTTTTCCCAATTTTCATTTGAATCGCGTACTTCAAAGGATTATGCACGCACGAGAGGACCCCATTAAACGTCTGGCAAAGAGATCCAGTACCGAGCGCTACACCGATGTGTCCGATCGGAAGCGGTCCTCTGGAAGTGATTCTCGTTTTGAGGCGCCTCCTCCACCAAGGTTTGATGCCAGTCTCGTAACATCGTCGAGAAGGTAAAAATTGTACAAACATTGTAACATGTCTCAGCTTAAATATGCTTATAAAGTCCATACTCTTCCTTCAAAATTGGTATGCATTCAAGCTATTCGCCCTACAAGGCGATTGTTAGAATTACAAATACTGCAATACGCGAAATATTAAGAAATTCAAATTTGCAAACACCCACTTTTCATTTGGGAGTTTTATTAGCGATTACGGGAGCAGCTTTAAATATTAAAGATACATACCAGAAATTGTTAATTTTTCAGTCATAGTTATGACCACTACACACAGCAGCCACATATTTATGTGGAAGAAAAAATTAATTAGTAAAACCATCGGAAACCTCTATTTTAACGGAGGACGACCTCATTAAATGAAATTCCGTCTTACCACGAGGGTTGTGCGAGAAAATTTCAACTGCCATACTCACAACAAAGCGAATTTCAGTAATGAGTGTTTTAGAGTTGTTTTAACTATTTTTGGCCTTTAATAGAGTTTTGGTCAGTTTTAGATATTAATTACTCCTTGGTAACTTCAAATCGGTATGAAATCAACGACGGGAGTACTTATCATCGAAAAAAACTTGGCATTTACTGAAGCCAAATGAGTAGAGGTGTAGGCCCTGTGAAAAACACGAGCTAAAAATTTTTGTTGCCTATTCCACTTTATTAATAATGCAATAATAACGATGCGGATGCCATTTTTTCATCCCTTCCATTTCTTTCAAGCTATTAAGCATCATTTTCTGAGGATTTAACAGTAGATAATTTCATTAGGTAAAAGCCCTTCCAAAGGGCCTTCGTGAGAGTTTAGAGGCTTGCCACTCTCTTTGATTTTTTGTATGGAGTGGCACAAATTGAAGGCCTTGTTTATTTAGCTACCCATAGAAGGACTTTGAGGAAGACTTTTGTAGGACGTATTTTAGAATGCCTTTTTGGAGGAGTTCTTTTATACACAGCTGCATATTGAAATTCATTTGTAATGTTAAATAATATAAACTTACACATTCACGTATATTGCAAATAGAAAAAGCCCTTCTTGAAGCCATTCAGGGAAGCACTTTATTCTGCCCTTCTTGGGTAGGCCTTTTAGAATGACTTCCCTTTAGAAGTCCATACCAATTTTTATTTAAGAGTGCTTTATATACAGTAGGGCTGGGGCTTTCCGTATATTCGGATATTCGTGTACAGATACGAATAAAATACGGATATCCAGTTAATATACGTTNATTCATTTGTAATGTTAAATAATATAAACTTACACATTCACGTATATTGCAAATAGAAAAAGCCCTTCTTGAAGCCATTCAGGGAAGCACTTTATTCTGCCCTTCTTGGGTAGGCCTTTTAGAATGACTTCCCTTTAGAAGTCCATACCAATTTTTATTTAAGAGTGCTTTATATACAGTAGGGCTGGGGCTTTCCGTATATTCGGATATTCGTGTACAGATACGAATAAAATACGGATATCCAGTTAATATACGTTATAATTTGTTGTCCGGATATCCTCTTAATATATTAAAGATATTCGGTTAAAACTTCCAAACTCCCAGCCCTAATATACAGTAACAAAATCTGTTATTTTCCTATTTTTAATATTATTTTTAATTAAATACTTATTCTCCGTACTGTGAACCCCTAGTTATGATAAGAAGCGTGATGATTATACTAGTTCTTCATCCGGGAAGCGCGCCATTGATGACTATTCATCTTCGTCCAAACGCATGGATTACTCGAGCGGTACCAAACGTTCAGCTATAGACGATTATTCTGTAGTTCCGGCAAAGCGAAGCTCAGACGATTATGGCAAGCGTAGCAGTGAATATCTTTCGTCGTCTTCATCAAAACGTATCTTAGACGATTATGGTACAAGCAAGTCCTCACGTGACGACTACAAACGCGAAGTTGAAATTCGACATGTTCCCGCAGTAAGTAATAGCGGCAGCTCATCATTCCACACAAGCCGAGATGTCAGCTCTACAATTCATAAGGCTACCGCAAGTCGCTATCTAGACACAGATCGTTCTTCTGGAAGCTATCGCCGTGGCGGTATCGATGACATAAGGTAAGCGTATTCGAATGGTAGATGTGCGGGGCTTATTTTAATGTGTTTTGTTTAATTTTGTAGGTCCTCATCTGGTAATAAACGCTATGACAACTCAAATGGTTACGGCAACTCTAGCAGTGGCAATAATGTCTGGGCATCATCTACACACTTGAGTGGCAGCTCTGGCGGAAGTGGTGTCAAGTCATACGTCGGCAATGGCATGTCCAGCCTTCACAGTAACTCAACATGGCAGAAATCGGTGGAAGAAAACAGCTGGCGTCCCATGCCATCCACACAAGATCGCTTTGATCGAACTTACAATGAACGCTCCAATAGTGGATACACAGCTGGAGGAATGTTTGGCAGTGGAGGACGCTATGGCGGCCAAATGTCTCGTTACTAAATCTAATTCCGCATTGGCATATTTTAAATGTCGTTTACAATTTTAAAGCTCTTTTATTATTATTATTATTATTATGCATTGCATTATGTGTTTTCAGTCATACTACAAACATCTTATTTGTGAATTTTCATAAGTTTGGTTAAGACATTTGATTAATTTTGTATTGCGAATGGTGAATCAATCAAAATAATTGTGTGTAGTGTGTAAGGAAGATGTCAGATCGCAAGTCAATGATTTTCTTGCCGGAATCCACATATGAAAGAAAGCAAATATTTGCATTTTAATCAGTCATTAGAAATGGGGAAATAGAACACAATGATTCACCGCAATCATGGTCGTGATTCTAATTGCTTCTTTCCTTTTTTGGTTTACTTGCAATTCCAAAATATTATACTACGAACATGTCTTTTGTAGTCAAATAAGTAACATTTGAATTATAATAAAACAAGTTACATTCATGCAAAATGTAATAAGATGCTTTTATTATTAAACTTAAGGCCCTCTTCCAGGCACGTAATAAAAGCGGCAATACTGCAGCGCTGATGATTTGCAAGTCTGTTGCAACTTCTCGATTGATAAAACGTTGCTAGAAATTGACACCGAACGTTATACTTTAATAATTCGCGCAACACTGCGGTTGTGATTGCAATTCGAACAAGCGCTAATTCACTGAGGCTCCTCCAGGGACGATACCAAAGGTGTTGTAGTGTCTACCATTACTAAAACACTGTGCGGCAATATGTAAATGTTATTTACCTGTATGAAGTAGCCCTTTTGGCGTTGCTCCTCTGAGGTGTGCAAACTAGATATCAATTTACAATTTTGGGTAGCATTAAGCCGTATTTTTATACACCTACTTACGCTAAAATATCGACCGGTTCCAAAAGCAGCTCTGATTTATAAACCGAGGCAAGAAAATTTGTAAACGCCACAGTATTATTACCGATTTCTGAATCAAAACCTTCACCTCCAAGTTGTAACTGTCAATGTACGCTTGCCTTAGTGAAATTAAACGGACATAAACGTGTTAACAGACCTTATCGAAATTTCCATCCTCAAACTCTGGTATTCCATTTCTAGTGCCCCAGAAGGTGATGACGTTGTCGTCAGATGTAACCAACGTTCCTTGATCATTGCATTTGCAATTCTAAAATAAAACCTTGCATCTAATCTCAATCTATTAACAAAAAAAATGCATAGTACTTACAACAATATTGCGATGCTTAACGAATTCCACCATCATAGGCCGATCCATTTCCCCAGTGTGTCCAATGCCGAGTTGTCCTTCGGAGTTGCGCCCCATTGTATATATCCAACCACCCTCCAGCAGTAATACGGTATGCATCGAAGAAAAGCTCGCCTCAATGATTTTATGTGGCATTTGAAGTTTTTTCTATTAAATGGGTGAAGCTAATTTACTAGTAAATAGAAAAAAATTGCATATATGTATGTACATTAGAGTGGCCTTCCAAAATTTTTCCTCTTGCCGAAAGAGGTTCTGGTACCAAACTTTACGTTTTTATCTATCCATTTAGAGGATGCTCATGATTCTCATATTTTACTCTAGAAGTATTGGGCACATATATTAATCAAAAAATTTGTTAAGTAACCTAAGAACATTTAAAATTTAAATTATCTATTGAAATGTCACAAGCTTCAGTTGTCAGTGCATCAGTAGCCTTTTATAAAAATCACCAATATTTTTGCCAGCTTCACAGCGATCCAATAGCGCATTTCAAGGTCGTTGAGCACCCTCTATTGGTTGCAGTAGAAAACTGAAATATCAGAAGGAAAAAAGCTAAGGGGGTGCCCGTTTTCTAGGATGTAATTTTTTCCCCCATACAAAAATTGGACCACTCTAATGTACATACGCACATACATATCGCACACCTTCTTCAAAAGAGTCACAACTCAAAATAATACGTTCATAAGAAAATGCGAAAAACTATTTCGTAGCACATGCTAATCATATGGGCAGGGCGACTTTACCTTAGGTTTTTTAACAAATTATAACCAGCTTTTACTGAAAGGTAAACAAAAGCTCTGTGTACATTTTTAGCGCATAATATCAAAATGCAATATTTGAGAAGCTTTAGCAAATAAAGAAAAGGTGATAGAACCTTTCACTCAGGCCTAAATAAAAACTAGAAGATAAATCAGTTTTCGCTGTTCAATAAACGACTATAAATGACCATCAGGTAAACTTGCAGGGGTGGTTTTTTCAGAAATAGTAGTCGAGAGTTCTAGCTTTAATTTGAGCCTGAGTGAAAGTTGTTTCTTTGCAAAAAACGCGATTTTTCGATACTTCGCATTACATTTTTTATAGATAAGTTCCTCTGGTTCTCATGGTCTCACATGTACATATAAATATGTATGTGTAAAAGGCGAAGATTCTGTATTTGAGAACAGATGGAAAAGTTACAAATATTATATTGCAATGGGTTTTCAGTTTGGTTGTTGTTGTTGTTGTAGCAGCATACAAATTCCCCAAAGACTTTGGGGAGTGTTGCTGGAGTGACAGTCCTTGCCAGATATAAATCTGGTCGGTTACTTAGACCCGACTGTCTTGGGAACGTTTTCAGTTTGGTCAACAAATACGGCTTAATTGAGCTGTAAATCGCACATTTGTTTAAATCATCCGGGAACCCAGTTAACCGTGCTGGTTTAATTGGAAAATCGATTTTTGAGCGAGTAATTCATTTGTAAAAAATAACGTTTGGCGCATACACTTTTGGCAAGTGTTTGCCCGAGCTTATCCTGAGTTATATCACAAATGGGTGGCTTACAATTTTACGCCTTCTCCAAACTGCAAATGGTTTATGAGAAGCCTTTTCCAGGCAGAAATACACTCAGATGTTTGCCATTGTCTGCCAACGGCCGACTGCTGTTAGAAAACCCGTATTTCTAATATTAGACGTTGTCTGACCAGGGGCCGAATATAATTTGGCTTCGGTTAAATAAATGTGCGAATGCTATATGTTCATAACGCTGGTTTGCAGGAAAAACGACATAACTCAAAAATGCGATAAAAACGTATTTGAAGTTTTTAATAATGGTTTCTCATTGAACCAGTATAAATAACTAAAAACAATACGGAGATTCGGCAACTTGTGAGCATGCACATGTGGAAGAAGTGGAAAGAGCATCTAAAGACTTGCAACTTCACCTCTGGCATGAGTGAGCTTTGGTCAACCGTGAGATGGACATCTTATATAAATTCGCCTTGACTTAAAGCGCAGTTACCCACGGACGTAAAAGCGGAGAACGTGGCAGCTGACACGATCTATCTTATGGGGTCTGCGAATTATCAAAACTCACCACCACTACGTCACACGTTGCTTCTCTCTCTTTCTATCAACAGCACACTCTACGCTACGTACACGTTCGTGGCTAACCGGGTTCTTAACCTGTTTATAATTTCACCTGATCTTTTTTTAAAGATACATTTTTTTGCCTATTTGAAACGTTGAAGTAACTGTAAACAACGCAAAAAGCGCTCGTATGTAAAACGTTCTGAGTAATGCCAAATTTTACGATGCAAAGGTCAGATCGACTCAAATGGCATTAGTGTCGCGGGCTCTAAAAAACTTTTTAGTGACCCTCGTGTGTATATGTATGTACTAGAGGTATACGCCGCCGAGCCACGCCGCCGCCGCCGCCGTTTTTTGTCATTTCTCACGCGCCGCCGCCGAGTTACGTAAATATCGGCGCGGCGGCGGCGGCGGCGGCGTTCGGCGCCTAAGGAATTTTGTACAAAATTTTCATGATGTATGCACATTAAAATACATCGTTTAAAGGAACTAAATACTACTCGTATAAAGACACTATTTTACGAAAAGAGGATTCAATTTTTAAAGGAGTTATTTCGCATAATTTGGGCCACTGAACATTTCCAAAAAAGCGTAACTCAGAAAAAACATAGGTAACACGTTATATTTTTCTATTTGGCACATTTTGGCACTTTTTTATCCTCATAGCTAAGTATAGTTGGAAGCCCTGTTCCCAAGTGGTGGTCAAATCCAAGGAGGCGTTTGCTCCCGCGCATCGCAATGTCTTCTACACAGGGTTAAAGTCCCCATTTTTCGTGAAAATTACTATTATTTTTCATTACATTCAGTTCTCCTTACAAAAATTTGGCGCTTAATATTTTAGTGGATATTTTAGCTACCTATAAGTGGCCAGAAAGGCCCGTTCTGGTGGAAGTTGACCAAACCTTGTTTTCAATATACATATGACCCGCAAAGAATCGTAACAACTCCGTAATTTAACATAACGGATGATAAGATTATTGCAAAAAAATTTTGATAGCGACATAAATTACCCCAATAACTTAACATTTTAAATTTTTTTATTTCTTTAAATTTCAGTAGTATACATATACGGCTTTGTAGAGAACATAGAGATATATTTATTTATATACGTCGGACTTTCTTCTGTTTGCCCATCCATCAGCAGCAGACACTCAACATTTTAATTCAAGTAGAAAGTAACGTAGTTTTAATTTAAAACTAATTCAATGAATTAATTAAATACAATTACAATCTGAATTGGCATGGCCAATGCCTAACGCTGACGAGATGACATGATAAGATTAGTAGCTTTATGTCTCTTTTGGATCTACCTAATGGGCAGTAGCGCCGACGTTTTCAGACGCGCCGGCGTCGCCGCCGCCGCCGATTCTTTTTCAAGTTGACCACGCCGCCGCCGCAAAGCCTGTCGGCGTAAACCTCTAGTATGTACATACCCAGCAAAAAATCGGTAATCGCTTTTAGTGGTAACGTGTTCTAGAAGGCATAGCGTTATAATGCCTTCGAATTTGTTCGCTTCTTTTAGGCATTGCCGGTAATGCAAAGTAGAATGTCCTACAATATTTTATTTATTTCGTTTCTTTGTTTCACTTCGGGGAAGGCAAAGTAGAATGTCCTAGAATATTTTTTTTTTATTTCGCCTCTTTGCTTCATTTCGGGGAATGCAAAGTAGAATGCTACATCGTAGCCAGCTGAAAAATAGAATGAATATCCAAAAAATCTTTTTTTACCGTTAGTTTCTGTGGAAATTTGTCTCGCATAAAAATCATGTTTTGCATTGTTCAATTTGCAGCGAAGTTGAAGTCAGTCAATGAAGTGAAGTACATGAGTGAGGAAGTACAATTTTAAGCTTAATTAAATATGCATGTATGTACATACCGGTTTTTAAGTAAAATCTAAATACCTAAATACATACATATGTATGTATAAAAACTGATTTATAAAAATTTGAATTAATTTTAATCTTTTAAGACCATTTCAGATTTCAATTTAATACAAATAAATAAGTATGTACTTATCTAGGCAATCTACATTAGTTTCTCCGTAAGGCATTTTTTGTTCGCTTCTCTGGATTCTGTTTATCCATGCGTTCTCCCTTCGTTCGAAGGTAATGCTGCGGGTAAGGGCTTACGGCCAATGACATGCCCATGTTAAAATAATGCCTTCTTGAAGCGAAAGGGTAAGCGATTCCCATCGCCTAGCTCGTTTCCACTTTCGTTTCTGTGGTAATCGTGTTTTTTGCTGGGTATACACACGAGGGTCACTAAAAAGTTTTTAGAGCACGCGACACTAATGCCATTTGAGTCAATCTGACCCTTGCATCGTAAAATTTGGCAGTTTCTAGCATCAACGTACTCGGAACTTGTTACATAGGAGCGCTTTTTGTGTTGTTTACAGTTACTTCAAAGTTTGAAATAGAAAAAATCTTTAAAAAAAAGGTCAGGGTGGCATTATAAACAGGTTAAGATCGCGGTTACCCACGAACGTGTATGTAGCGTAGCGTAGAAGTACGTAGAAAGATATCAAGTGTGCTGTTGATAGAAAGAGAGGGAAGCAACGTCTACGTCACGGTCATGTGGTGGTGAGTTTTTGATAACATGCGGATCCCAAAGATCATTTTATGAAAACAAAATTAAAATATTAGTCACAACTTTTTCCATTTCATTTACGATGTTGTTACGTCTGTTTGCATTTCAGGTGCATCTACATCTGAATGTACATATTATGTATCTACTATATATGTATGTAGGCATGAATGTAAAATAATATAGCAAAAAAGTTTCTCCTAAAATTTTTTATGGATTTTATGACCAGTCCTTATCCGCAGGACTAATTTTTCCATAGATTGGTACCAAACTGAATCGTAGTGCATACATTTTTTAAAAAGTAACTTATGTATACATATATAAGGATGAGATTCGGCATTTTGTACGTACGAATGCTGTTATTGTGATATTCTTCTTAAATCCCAACTTCCTGTATTTGTTGCATCCACAGAGGTACAAGTCGCCGTTTTTGAAAAGAACTGCCGAAACATTGGGGCCGCAAAAAATTTTCTCCGCCTTGCCATTCACATGGGGCAGCAGTACTTTTTGTGGAGTTCTCCTTCAAAGAAAAGTTGGTAGTTAGAAAATTCATTTCAGTTGCTGAATGTACTTATGAACTATGTATGTATGTATGTATGTAATTGTCTACGTACTGCTGCGTCTGTAATTTGCCCAGACCAAGAGCGCCGTACGCGCTGGTACCCCAAACATAGATTGAACCATCGGCGCTTAAAGCAAGCGCATGTGCTGTGCCGGATGCTATTTTTTCGATTTGTATATCCTGTAATTTGCTGACATTTTTCGGGGTGTGGAACGTTTTGTTATCTTCATGTCCGAGCGCATACTTTGAATTATCGCCACAACTGAGAATGGTGCCGGATTGAGCTAGTAAAATGGTAAACCCATCTCCAACGCAAGCACTGTATTGGATAGTGTTTAAGTCAGAAGAAATTTGCAAGAACATGCATGAGTTGTAAAATAATTCAAGCGATTTTCCATCCATCATTTCACAATGAAATGTCGCTCATTTGCTAAAAAACTGTCAGGACCCGAATCAGGGCATCGGCGATCGAATCAAAGTCGATTCGGAATTTCTTTTTCAGATTACGACATTCGCTAACGAGCTCGCTTTTTCAATTAAAAATGTATTGGAAAGAAAACGGCTGTCATTTTATTTCATTCGTTTCGAATCGAGTCCAGTTCTCGAAAAAGCGGTCCATTTATCGAACTAGAGGAAATTGATGGTAGCGCTTTCAACAGAAGCATTTTCATACTAAACAGCATGGTTTTGAAAGCTAAAGTAATTCCCTTTCACGAAAAAAATATTGTCATTGGGCCAAAATTACCCCTTGATTTTAACAAAATTGGTCAAAAATAGTGTTCTTCAAAAAAAACAAAAAAAAACATGCATGAGAGTTAATAAGAATATTGACTTGCTAGTATCGGAACTATTTCTTGCACGATTATTTGCCAAAAGTTTTTCAACGGCTCGGCGCCAGTGAGCAATCGTATGCTGCGAATGCTGCATTATACTAAAGCCAACCTACGAACACAGATATGTACAAATTTTTTGAATATGAAAGATATGCAGGAAACTAGTTTTTTCGCCCATAAAGTATTTACATACATACCTTATAATGTGGTGGTTTCGGACACTCTCCATTCGGCTAGGGTAATGCTTCCATGCTTCAAGCGATGTAGATCCAAGTTGGCCATGGGTGCCCTCTCCCCAAGCATAGACGGAACCATCTTTAGCAGTACAAAATCGCTTTTAACAGATACATACATATGCATACATATTCGCCCCTATTCCGATTGTCGGAACGACAGTCGTTCGTCGTAATTTGAAATTTGCATTGGGGTTATGAGGCAACCAATGACATAACCTACTACACATTTTTATACCCGAGCGCACTTGTGCACAAGGTTGTTATAACTTTCTGCGCATAACGGTTGTTTGTAACAGGCAAAACGAATCGAGATAGATATTGACAAAAGTATACATATCTAAATGATCAGAATGAAAAGCGAAATCGATTAAGCGGTGACTGTCTGTCCGTCCGGCTGTCTGTGCACACGATAACTCGAGTAAAAATTGAGATATCTTAACGAAACTTGGTACGTGCACTTCTTTCGGGACGGATGGTATTGAAAATGGGCAAAATCGGACAATAACCACGCCTACCTCCCATATAACGGTAATTTTCAGAAATACGAAAACTGCGATATTTTAGTAACTGCTGAAGATTATTCACTCAAAATTGATATTTACAATATTTTGTAGACGAAAAATAAGAATATTATAAATTTTTGGAAAATGGGTTACATGTGTATATCTTCTTGGTAACCGCTGCACCAATTTCCTCCAAACTTGACACAGTTGTTGGCCTTGGTACAGCATACTAAATGGCCGAAATTTTAAAAAATCGGACAATAACCACGCCCACATCCCATATAACGGTAATTTAGAGAAATACGATATCTTCGATAAATCAGTCGCTTTATTTACGACATAATTCAACGAACGACTTTCGACAACCAGAATAGGGGTGATTTTTTCCCTATCGAGAGAATTTAAACACACGATTCTTACCATCGTTTACTACTACAAAATGTGAATCACTTGTGGCGACAGTGCGTATACGCGATTTTGGTGGCAACTGTATGGGATTCATGTTGAAACTGTTTCCGAACGCTTTCAATTGGTATAGAACGGATCTACGAGGTTTAATTAATTGAAGTAAAATATTATATTTATCTTTGCTAAAACTAATCAATTTAAATTTTGTGATGATTCACTAACAGACCGCTTATAAAGGACTTCATTCGGGACAGCAGTTTCAGCATTCATCACCTCCCTCATTTCGGTACATCCAGTTGGCAGCTCTGACAATGCTTGAGTGGATCTATCTGTTTCCAAATTAAAACTGAGCTCCACATCCTCTTTTGTGGATCTTAATTCGGCGCTCATCTTCGGAACGGAGTTTGATGCAAATATATCCTCTTTATAGGAATATCTAAAAGTTTGAATGTACATACATATGTACATAAGTATGTATGTATGTATTTACATAATCATCCAGTACATAGTAAAGGGACAAAAAAATGTATGCGCCTGGACCACACTACTGAAGTGAAACTTCCTTCGATTCATTTCCCATTCGTTTAATACAGCAGGAATATGTATTATTCGTCTGACTTCATATTCGTCTTCGTATAAATGTTTGTTTTCAAGTTTAACTTTAACTTCCTGTTCGTATCCCACTTCGTGGTCGTGTTCGTCTCCGTCTTCCTCTTCGTATTTTATTCGTCTTCATTTTGATCGCCGTATTCCTCTTCGCATTTGTCGTCGTCGTCATCGTCTCGTGTTCTTTTTCACATTCGTATTCGCTTTCGTTTTGGTCGCTATATTAGTATTCGACTTCGCATTTCTCTTTGCATTCGTATTCGACTTTGTCTTCGTCTCTATCTTTGAGATAACTTGGAGCGCAAGTATCACACAATTTACGTAACAATTTTTTAGCTCACTACCACCGCTAAAGAAGGTTCACTTCAAAAATGCTATTATCCACATACATATATATGGGCGATTCCAGCGAAAAGTCTAACGCGAAAAAAAAAAATAAAAGTCCTACATGTAACTTATTTATGAGCCGATTTGGCTGCTTTTTATAATATATACTGGCTATGTAAGCAGAAACATTTTTGCCAAAATTGGTCCCTTTAGGTGGCGCCAGGGTGGAGATATTTTGAAAAACCGTATTTATCAGAGCATAATTTGGTGAATTTTGTAGAAGGTGTTGCTCATTTTCTCCATGCAAAAAAATTTTTGAACATACTGTGTATTCAAGAAAATGCGTGAACAAAAAATTGCCAAAAATCAACGGTAAGTCCAAGCATATTCCAACTTGCAGTTTATTCAACTAAAATTTAATGGGCTTCAAAACATGGCATACTCAAAACAATTCTAGAAAATCTGATTAAAATGATTTAAGAATTGGGACGAACATTTATTCAAATTCGTCGAATTTTTATAAATGTTCTACAAATTTTGAAGTTTTGATTTACGTTTTTTTTAGATAATGATTTATATTTTCATAAAAAAATATTACACAATTTTAATTTTTTTCTTTGTTTTGTTTTAAATAAAACTGTATTAAGCCTTTTAAATTATTCTAAAAACAAAATTGTATGTTTGGATTCGATGCTTTAGAAATGTCCCGATTTTTGGCCACAGAAATCTAGTTCACCGTAAGTATTGCCCATTAGCAGGGTGTTGTAATTTTTTTAACCCAATCAAAATCCACTTCTTTTTTTTTTTTGTAACGCCACGCCAGCGCATATGTTTGCTAGATAATATCTTTAAATCGCTACTACTAATAGTGAAAAATAAAACTTGCGCCAGCTGCGATTCGAACCGGGGTTCTCAGATTTTTAAGCGGATACTCTCTCTGCATGCCAACGCCGCACATGAAAATTCGTTGACTAAGTGCCTACATATCAGCAAATCGTTAATCATACCCATTGTCCGCTACTGCATGACATTGTAACCAATTTTAGAACAAATCTCGTACCTTATGCATTACATTTGGACCACTTTTAGTACAATTCACCTGTTTTGCATTACATTGCCTTAAATTTTTGGACCTTCTTAGGTCTAGTTACAAAACTACTGTATACCTACGACTATATTTTTCGAGCAATTGGACCACTCTCTCCTTCAGGGGAGTGTCACGTAACGCCATATTGGAAATACTCATATGTATGTATGTATGTATAGGCATATCTAATATATCTACATAGCTAGGTATTAGTACCCTTTATTCTTCCCCAAATTTCTAAATATCAATGGAATCCAATACTCCAATATTTCCGAGGCCATTGGCCGTCGAGAAGCATCTACCTGCGAAATTAAAATTAAATTGCACTTACGAGAGCTGCTTACAAATGAGGATATATCGAGCCCTTACCGCCAAAAAGATATAAGCGACATTTTGTTTTTCAAAATTTGATTTTTAATGCTGAAATGCATCAGATGCTATAGGAACATTTCTGCATAAAAAAAAGAAAATTTTGAAAAACAGGTCGCATATCTATATCTTTTTGGCGGCTAGGGCTCGATATGTATGTATTTATGTGTGCATTCTTCTTGTTCAAACTTGCCTGCAAAAGATTGCTCAGAAGACTCCGTAGCCCTGAAGAATATCCTGTAGGTATGGCAGTATAATTGCCCTAAATTTTATGATAACGACAATGACAAATATAAAAGATATGCATGTAAATATTTAGAAATATGCAAGAAACAGGCGAGGCCTTATAAGCATACCGCCATTATTTTGGATACTAATTGCGAGAGGTTTGAAGCCGCAAAACTCTTCTTGAGGCAACACATCTCGCCAAGAATGCAGCCTAAGGCCCAAATATCGCTTTTGTTGTCGTACTCCTTGCCTTCGCACTGAAATTAAAAAAATAAATAAAAATTATAAACTATATATCATTAGCCTAATTAATATGGGACCACCCTTGAGGTAGCTTTCCGATAAAAAATTATTATAAAGAATTATGGAAAACGGTTTACGTAGTCCAAAGTTATCCGGTATCATACATAAAAAAATATTCCGGCGGATTGATCACCTTTCTCCTTTTTTGAAGCCGGTTATTACAAAATACTTAGCTCGAATGTACGTATTTCAATTCTTGTGGCTATTGTTAAAGATGGTAGAGCTCGTTTAATTTTTTAGTAACTATTTTTGAACTCTTACGTAATAAGAAAATTATATGCCAAAGACATATTAAACATTGGTAGCAGAGAGCAGCTGATTTGATATTTTTTTTTATTATCTGGTATCTAACCTGCCAAATATTGTTAATTTTTTCTCGAAATTCGTAATTGGCAAAATGTATTCGTATCTGAATCTTGCTTAACTTAGGGCTGCTTTTACAGTGACGAGTTAACTTTCATTCGGCAGTTAAGTACAGGCTTTCAGTACAAAATATTAAAGTTAACTGCCGAATTTGAGTTAGCCCCCCACTGTGAAAACGTCACATAGGAGCATAAACGCTGATTTTTGGGACCGGAAAAGGATGTATTGATGCTTCTGGAATTCAACAAATTTACAAAGAAAGAAAGTGGAACCAATTCTTTATTATTATTTTTTTTTTAATTACATTTTTTATTTACGTTTTTGTTTATATTTCACATCGTCCACTATGACATTTAAAAAAAGCAGACTATTGGTTTGACACTGTAGATACCAGAAGCTGCAACAAAATACACAAATTTTGTTTTTGCTCTAATTCTCCTACCTGTTTGATATGCGTGCTAGATTGCTACGTACGTAGCTACTTTACATCTAAAATGCTACAAATCGTGACCTCCGCTATCGTGTCCAGGTAGTACTAGGGTTCGAAATTTCAGACTTTGGAATCGATACTGAGTACTCATTCTGTCATCGAGCTCATGGTATCGATACTGTAAAAGTATCAGGGAAAAAGTATCGATACTACTCAGTATCGAACTCATTAAAATACGTTTTTTGGGATAGTTATTTCTTGAAATTAAAACAATACAATTTTAAAATATTTGATTTTTATTTCATTGCAGAACTTACTTTCACGTAAGAAGTAGTTTTAACGTTAAATGTACATACATACATACAAACATATATATATATATATACTTTCATGAATTTCAAATTTTATTAAGATTTTTTGTAAACTTTTTGGGTATGCATTTTTGTAGCCTATTCAATTTTAGTATAGTAATGGCAAGATTGAATTAAAAGTCAATGGTAGTAGGCTACACGTAAAGTTGAATAGGTTACAAAACTGCATACCCAAAAGGTTTCCAAAAACTCTGCATTTTCGTGAACTTTGCGGAAAGTTTTATGGCCTTATTCATAAAAAAAAGTTTAAAAACTGAAAAATGTAGGAAAATGTCATTTTATTGAGCTCTTTAAACCTACTTTATTTTTTATGAATAAGGCCATTAAACTTTAACGTATTTCGTTTATGTTATGCAACAGACTACACGAAATTTCAGTTTATTTTAAGTGATGAACAAAATTTAATGATAGTAATCCTTATAAGCAAAGAAAAAATGTAAAAAGTATGTTTATAAAAAGTTTTCGATACTACGAGTACTTTGCAAAGTATCGAGTAAAATCACCAAATAAGGTATCGAGTATTAAAGTACTCATTTTTATACCCTCAGTATCGATGCTTACTCAATATCGATAGTATTGTTCGAACCCTAGGTAGTACCTCCATTTGAATAAAAAATTGGATACGTGCACTCTATTATTCTGATAATAAGAATTGTTCTTNTGTTCGAACCCTAGGTAGTACCTCCATTTGAATAAAAAATTGGATACGTGCACTCTATTATTCTGATAATAAGAATTGTTCTTAAACTAAATAAATATTAACTCATACCATCTCTGGACTGAAGTAGTAGGGCGTTCCCAAAACAG